ATATATATATATATATATATATATATATATATATATATATATATATATATATATATATATATATACTTGCATATACACAATTCAATCCACAAACATAGTCTGTGACATCATGAAGTACAATAAAATGGATGAAGGCTCTCGGGCGTGTATGCGCCCGGTGTTGTATGTGTGTAGGAGTGCTTGTAGAGGCGTGCAGACGACTGCTCCGCCTTCGGCCCCTCCCCCCTTCTCCCACGATATGAAATAAGGCGGTCGGTTGACCTGGGCACAGGATGGAGATTTATAACATGCAGAAGCTAACACTAGTGTGAGGCAGAGGTGCATCACGACGTGACGGTTCCTCTTACAATCACCAGATAATCATAGGCAGCCAACGATGAGGTCGTACAGGGCTGCCGCTGGCAGAGAAAGGGATCCGCAAAAAGATCCTTCTAGATACACAGGAAGCGCTCTGTCTGACTGCTGAGTGGGCCTTCAACATTGTCGAGACTAAGATGCCCCTGCATCTGTTCCCTGTGCCATCGTCCAACAAACGGGGATGCTGTTGCTGCACAAGAGTCTTACTGCTAACGCGAACCTGTTAAGGGACCCATGCGTCACAAGGGCTAAACGGGGGAGCTGCTGAGAGGGAGCGAGTAACAAATTGCTCTATGCTCCGCCCCAGCCAACCAGCATCTGCTCGTCAAGGATCGACGCAGAGCAGTATGGAGCTTTCCATCAATCTTGGCTTATGTCTCTACATCTTCTTTGCTTATGGCTGCAGAAGAACTTCCTGAAGTCAGGGCAATTCCCCTAGCCATTCGGCAAACTGTGCGCTGCAAACCAGAAAATCATCCTAACAAGCGTGAAGCTTCGTCCATAGATAGAAGAAGAGTCCTTGTTCAGTTCCATCCGATCTCGATGATGCTCAAACAAATGATGCAAAGTATACGGCACAACAATTTGGGGCATTACATACGGCCCCGGTCTTCGTGTCACAGGGTTGTCTTGGTTGCGGCTGCGCGTAGACCCCCTGAATTGTTTAAACATCAGTTAGTTGCTCGAACTTTTGTACGCTGCATATGACAAGACACTTGCAACAAACCATAGATGTTGTGGTTTGGGAGACAGGAATGTTCATAGCCTTATTACTGCTTTCTTCCCCTCTACTGGCGTTGCACTGTTCTACGAGCATCTGTGCTGGCGCACAACGACTGGCTGCCTTAGTTAGCTTTCGATAGGGTCCGACGGGAAGAGGCGCTTACCAACGATTCGAACTAAAACAGATCCATATATATTTTCGCCCTCCGTCGTTTGAAGGCTTAGTGTTCTCTCCACTGTTTGCCGACCTGCAACGCAATCAGAAAAAAAAAACAAAAGACGAAGCCGAAGATCGAACTGCCGAAAATGCGTTCCAGCGGCAAAGGGGTAAGTGTTAACTGGCGATGTTTATAACATAAGAAATACAGAATGTCTGAAGAGGAGAAGAGTATGGAGGGCTGCTGAAGTCACGAAGCGCTCAGCTTGTCTCACCGTCTCCACCACCGAAGAGTGCGGCCACATCCAGCATAAAGTTTTCCAAATATCTTGCGAATGCGCGAATCAGCTGCGGCGTACATTCAAATCAGAAATATATGAAGCACAGGATAGGATTCAATACATGGAAGAGCGGCATTTCCTGCAGTGGCTACTGGCCAATCATCCAACCATTCGGCCAACTTCCTCACGAATAATTCTACTGCCCAACTTACCCTCTCACCGGGCCAACCAGCAGCGGTAGCCTGCACCAAACACACAAAATACAGTCCATGGAGTGCAAGAGAAAAGGGTTCAAGCCGTCGGCACCCTCTTTCGCTTGTGTTGTCGCACACTGCAGAATGCATCTCCGTCAATCTCACCCTTTGCCATAGTGCGATATCAAAAAGGAATCCCCCATATTTTACTTTGAATTGTCCTGTAGATTTTACACCGCAACAACACAGGGATATGATTTAGGAAGATGTCATCTCTCTTGGAGCCTGGTGCCAAAATGACTTTTTCCGTTGCAGTCACACTACATCACCAACATTGGGCATTTGCAGCTCTCACGGTAACGGCCAGGTCTTGGTTCCCCGCTAAGACTTTGAAAGAAGCGCAACAACTCATTCAGTTCTTCCTTTGCCTGCAAACAGACAAGCCCACAAACGCCACATTGCAAAGCCTTTATAG